ATTCCAATTTGTACAATCTGGATTAACATGATAAGCCAATAAAATTGGACTATGTTTCTTGAATACAGCAATATCAATTTCTTGATTGCGATACCATGCCACACTATAAGCATGTAAAATTGCAATAGATGAATAATAGTGAGGTTGTAGTTCTTGAGGCCAATGTTGATTGTGCCAATTGGGATGCTGGCGATCTAAAGCCAGTTCAGCACATCGAATCGCACATTCTAAATAAGCCTGCTGTAAATCAAAATGATGGCGCGTGAAAGCAAAAGTTAGGGCATCATATATGTAGTTTTCGATGGTAGAAACCGGCATAGACGTACTCATCATATCTTCTATGTAGTTTCTTTGTTTTTCTACCAATGACTTCTTCATATACTCTAAATAGCGCTTAACGTGGCGTTCATAAGCCTGTTGCCAATTTTGTGGTGGCTCTATTTTTTGAGGTTGTTTCTTCTTAAATAAACCAAACATTTTATTTGCTCCTCAGTGCAACTGGTAAAGTTTCTGGTATCACTACCAATTCGGTCAGTGGTTTGCCTGTATTGTCTAAATCTGCACACAGGTTGATGTATAAACATCGTAGCCAAACTTTCCAATACTCCATCCAAGCTGAAATGCACAATAACGTGCAAAAAATGGTAAAGTTTTACGTGTCAATGGTTGTGGTAAGGATTTTTCGTCAGGAGGTGAGCATAGCCCATATCTGCTCCTAATTTCTGCGCCATACCTTTTTGGATTGCTGAAAGATAACGTACGATTTTTTGTCGAGAGGCATTCGTAGTTAATACTGGAGTTTTCAGCTCATAAACAATATGAGCATGTCCATTCTCAGGGTTTTGGGTCGTCCAACTCGGTGGAGGAAGGTTTGCGTCGTACCACGACATCACCGCTTGTGGGTCATCTACATCGAAAACAAGGTAAATAATTTGATGGGGTGGATTGATTTGTACATAACGTTTTGTAACCGCTTGTTCTTTTGAATGAATGAACGTACAGCCCAAATCATTGGTACAGTAAGGCTTATAAGGTAAGTTCCTTATAAATTGTGCTTCAAAATTTGAATTAATGTGCATTTTGCAAGCCTTCTGGCTTGCGATGTAAGACATTACTGTTATAATGATTCAACATGCTAGCGTTCCAAAGCTGATTAGCATGTACATTAAGAGCCCATCTTCTGCCAAGAAAATATTCGGGCTTTTTTTGTGCCTGCAAATCGCTGATTAACAAAAAAAGAAAGTATTT